AGATGTCCACCCTCACACAGCCACACATGCTTTCTCTGTCCCCTGCTTTATTTTTCTGCTTAGCAGTTGTATCTGTCAAATATCCTGAAATATCCTGTATGTTACATTTATTTACCTTGCTTATTGACCACATTCCCCCCCAAAATAGAGGCTCCGTAGAACAGAGTATTTCAGCCTGCTTTGGTCACTGCCGTATCCCCTGTGCCCAGAAAAGTGATAGCAGGTTGTGGATTCTTCAGAAATATTCTATGTGACAGATGAGTGAATTAACCGATCCCAAGGACTAAAAGGTAACTTACATGCTGACTTCAGCATCTAATCTCCCTACAAGACAGAGCTCTATTTTTTCCCCTGTCTCTGGCTTTCAATATGAATTTTTTTAAATGTGGCTGTGCTCAGACTTACCTAGCTTTGTACCAAACTTTCCTCACCTAAAATCACACACACACACACACACACACACACACACACACACACACATATATAATCATAGAAGTATCTTAATTCATTCTCCATCCTAAGATACTACTTCATTAAAGAACATATGGAAATGGTGCTGGCAATTTAAAAAGTAATAATTCATAGAACTTCCCTGATAAAACAGTCACCAGCATTTCAGTGACTTGCCTTGTAGGTCAGCATTTTTAGAATGTAAGTTCAAATTGCAGTATGATAACACTTGAGTTAGAATTCTGCATACAGTGGTGTGTTTTTGTTTTTGGTTTTTTTGGTCTTTTTTTAACAGGCTTGGAAATTTCACTGTCAAAACAATTTAAAGAGATAGATAAACGTTTCCTTAATCACCTCCTTATTTCTGTATTTTGATTTAGATGGCTGTCAGTCTTTTTATTTTATAATGGTGCAGTAGACTTTATTTTTATTTTTATTTTTTATTTTTTTTTTTGGTACTGGACTGCGGAAAGCTTGGATTTCCTTAACTTGGATTAAGGAAATGACTTGTGAATGGCCTCACACTCCCTTACCACCCTGTGGTGATCCTTTCCTTTCCCTCTCCCCACCACTGATGTAATTTATGGCTCTGGCTTCTTATTTGTTGGAAGCAGATCCCTGAAGGGGTGACCTCCCAGTGTCTTCAATTATTATTTTAAATGATGCCTTAGGCTACCGCCTGGCACAGCAGTGCCCTCACCTTCCCGCCTTCTGCCTTCCAAGCGTGGAGCTCAGCTACCAAGCTGGCTGTGCCCCCTCCTGTCCTCAGAGCTGCCTCCAGAGTCCCAGCAGAGAGCCAGATTAACCCCTTTTGTTAGCAGAGGCAATTTGCCTGGGTTTAGCATTAATAAGGAGTGCCATAAGCAGTTGGGGTCAGAAAGAACATATYTGTCAAGCCCCAGGGTTAATTTAATAGCAATCTGTTGGCTGTCTAGGCTTTATATTAGCTGTGAATCCGATGCTGTGTTTTGCCTTTGCCATTTAGTTCTTTGGGACAACAGGGAAATAATTTGGATAGAGTACTCCAAAGGATAAGAGAAGAAAATTGACTGTCAGAACGCATCATTCCAGATCATACAGGGAGCCAGGCATTGCTCGCCTCCTTTCTCCCCCAGTCCCAACACAAAGGGCCAAACAACCCATGCTGACACATGTCTGTCTTTGCAGTAGCATCACGGGAAAGGCCTGGGTTCCAGGGATGCAGTGTGGAATTTCCTTCTCCCTTCCCCAGGAGCCATTTGAATTTCTGACAACTAGACTCTCATGCTTCTAGAACTCACCAAGCCCTCCATTAAAAAATAAGTCAAGACATCCTTGTCAGGTTTTTGTTCAATTTCTGGTTCAAAAAATAATAATAATWATTATTATAGAACATAAAACTTCTGGTTGTGGGAAATGTCACCAAAATGATAAGCGATGGGCCTCAAGCAGAAGAGATGGCTCTGCCTTCCTGATGAGCCAGGTACTGACTCAAGAGGGTCAGATGCTTGGGAAGGCCACTCAACAGGGAGGCAGGGTGACATTGTGGTCCAGAACTCAGGCTCCTGAGTCTCACAAACTTGGGCTGAAAGCCCAGCTCTGCCCCCTATGACGAACATGACCTTAGTGATTTATCTTAGTCTTATCTTTGCTCAGCTATAAAATAGGGCTGTTGATAGTTGTGACCACATGTGGCCGGGATGGGAGACAAGTAAGACAGCGTACGTGGTATTTAGCGTGGGACAGGCCCAGCACCTGGTAGACCTCACCCGATAGACCTATCAAGTTCCTGCTGGTTGATTCAATGTATTACTTTCCAAAATGTTGACCCCTGGTTATGATCTTCTGCCTTATCTTTACCATTGTGGTTGTTTAAAAAAGGAGGGGGGGTATGTAGATCATGGTTTATGCCCTGAGCCCCAGAGAATCCAACCAAGTCAAAAGGGAGTCTCAGGCCTGGAAGGGAGAGAGAGCCCAGAAGGCTGGGGGATGAAGGGTGGGTGAGGGCAGGCCTGGTGGTCCAGGATGTGTGGAAGGAAGGATCCAGAAGCATGGCCTCATCAGATTCAGTGGGCACATCCCCATGAGAGTGCCCCTGGGGGTGGAGGGACGTCGTTGGTGTCACGGGTGTGCTTCGGCACTTTGTTCTCACACATTCTGACTTGGGGGCTTTATTTTTAGGTGGCGGTAGCACCTCCCCTTCCTCCACAGCGCAGAGCCTTCCAGTTCAGCTTGTTTGGGAGCACTTCTGGGAGAGGTCGAGAAAGCAGACACCAGATTTTCTTTCCCTATTTTGGGAAAAGAGAAACATGCTCACTGGCGCTTTAGGGTATCAAGGATCTTTCTGGAGGGCGATGAAATCTGACAGCAGCTCAACACTGTCCTCTGCTTTACCCTGTGCCATGTCCTGGCCATGGAGGCCAAGGCATGGGTCAGGGTGGCCAAGAGGACATCAGAGCCACCCCCTGCAGCCTCCTCTGAACAGCACGGGCTTTTGCTCCCAGGAGCATGTACTAATTGCAGTAATATTTAGGACTCTGGTAGAAACAGTTGAGTTAAAAGGTAGTAGTTTGTGAATCCAGGGGACCCACACGCCCTGGACACCTTGGTAATATTTGCATCTGGATTTGGCAGGGGAAACTGTAGCAAAATGTAATGTTAACTCAAGTCTCAAACTAATTTTAGAAAGGATGCAACAGAACGTAGATGAGATCATTGAAGGGGAGGAGGCACAGCCAAAACAAAAAGCCATTGTTACAACAAATTGCATGTTGGAGTCATTCTCARAACAACACAGGTGACATTTGACAGTAGGGGACTACTTTGTTAGGTCTACATTTGCTTGTCCCTGTCTTGACTCTAAGATGGGGACTCTGCTCCTTGCTTAATGAAAAGCAGAGCTGACTCTCATCCCTTCCTAGGATGGTCTGTGTCACATTACTGCTTGTTGATTTGGTGCATGGCTTTCCAGAATGTGGTTATGGACACTGCTGGCTCATGCATGGTTTCACTATAATTTTATACATTTATTTTCATGTGTTTTATTAAATTTAAACCAGCTCATGGAACTCATAACTTTATGTATGATGGATTACTACTTAGATGAAATTGAGTAGAGAAAAAAAACAGGCCCATTGAGGGCTGGGGTTGTGGCTCAGGGATAGAGTGAGCCCATTTAAGGATGAAGAAAACAATGTTAAGTAAAAAAAATATTAACTGGGGCTTAATATTTTAAGTGGTTGAGTGCTTCCCTGGTATGCATGAGGCACTGGGTTTGATCCCCAGCACCACATAAAAAAAATAAAATAAAGATATTGTGTCCATCTACAACTAAAAACAATATTTTAAAAAAATATTACCTGATGATAAATAGATGGGGCCAAAATCATGAAGTGGTGGAATCTGGGAAAAGTGGGAATCATTTTAGTCAGCGTGGATGGGTAACAGGATCCACATCACAAGGCCAAATCCCTTGCAGGCAGTCAATGCATGGGTCCTCAGAACCTCAGCCCCAGTAAGTGCCACCCAAGCCCTTGGTAGGGGTATGAAGGGATGCATACAAACCCTTCCTTCATGCATGCTGAATACCCGCCAGAAGTGTTTGTCTCCATTGAATCACCTTCATAAGCAGAAAGCTAAATGTTTCATTCCAACATAACAGGAATGAGGTCTTTAAAAAAAATAGAGGGAAAATAATTCTTGATCAAGAAGAAAAATATTGAGGGGGGGAAAAAACAGATGATAAAACTAAAGAGTGTGTTCCATGGAACCTAGATCTCACCCAACATGTATCAATGCCTTCTGATATTTAAACTCCCACCCAGTCTCTAAAGCAAATCACAGCTTGGGGAGACTAGAAGGTCTGTGTATCTTAAATGAGAGAATGTTGCATAACTACGAAACAGCTCAGGTTTTTATATTGGAGTGAAGTCGTCATGTTTTCACTCAACTGGCCGTGTATTATACACTCAGAGCCTCCATTTCCACCCCTGAAAAACAAGTGTAAGAAATGTGTCATTTAAAAAGTTTTGCAAGGATTAAGTGAGATAAAGTACATGATATGCTTTGCACAGTGAATGACCTATAGTGGGTGCTCAATAAATAGTAGCAGCTATTATTATCCACGTGGTAGTAAACAGTAAAGGTCTCAGGAATGTCGTGGAAGAGGATTTGCAGTCTATTCTAGATATAACTCATCAGGAGTCAAATAAATTAGAATTTATGGAACTAGTTTCTTAACTACTGTTATGTAAAGGAGATCAAGTCTTTGCCACTTGCATGAGCAGGAAATTTTGGTCATGAATGGATGTTTCCTACAAGGCAGAGGAATCAGGAGTTGGGGGACCTGAGTTCTAATGCTACCTCTAACTAATGGGTCACCCTGAGCCTCATTTCGGGTGCCTGAAACCAGTGGCACCTGCTTGTTTGCTAGCAGAGTCAGGAGGAAGGTCCACCTGGTGCCTAGTAAATGCTGCTGTGTTTCACTCACGTAAGATGGTGCTATTGCTGATCCCCCTACCCCGAGATTCTGCCCACTTCTTCCGGTTCCCTCCTTGACTCGTCTGTGCCAGATATTGTGGACATTAAGCCAGCCAACATGGAGGAGCTCACAGAGGTGATCACGGCAGCTGAGTTCCACCCCCATCACTGCAACACTTTTGTGTACAGCAGCAGCAAAGGGACAATCCGGCTGTGCGACATGCGGGCATCAGCTCTGTGCGACCGGCACACCAAGTGTGAGTAGCACCTGGGGTGTGGGGGAGGGATACAGAGTTCTAAAACTCTGTGTGTGTGTGTGTGTGTGTGTGTGTGTGTGTGTGTGTGTGAGAGAGAGAGAGAGAGAGAGAGAGAGAGAGAGAGAGAGAGAGTGTGTGTGTGTGTGTGTGTGTGTGTGTGGGGGAGGGAGGGGGGGAGAGAGAGAGAGAGAGAGAGAGAGTGTGTGTGTGTGTGTGTGTGTGTGTGTGTTGGGGGGACTGGGAAGGTCTTTTATCTCATCTGACATATGGACTTGGAGTAAAGAGACTCCAAGTGTTGGCCTGACTTGAGAGTCAACTTCCCGTTTGGTGTTTTCGGTAAAGATAAAAACTTACGTTCAAACTCCAAAACATACAGGTGCAGGACCAGCCCCTGTTAGCAAGGGGTTTAAGTAACATTGCGGCATGATCCAAGTCGTGTGTTAAGATCTCTCTTGCCAGGTGTGGTGCACACCTATAATCCTAGCAGCTCAGGGGGCTGAGGCAAGAGGATCGCAAGTTCAAAGCCAGCCTCGGCAACTTAGCAAGGCTCTAAGCAACTCAATGAGACCCTGTTTTTAAATAAAAGATTAATAGGGCTAGGGATGTGGCTCAATGGTTAAGCACCCCTGGGTTCAATACCCAGTACCAAAAAAAAAAAAAAAGATAACTCTTGTTGCTTTTGAGAGAAAGGCCCCGCTAAATGGTGGCCTGGACAAGGCAATGATGTGGTCATGAACAACAGCAGAGACTTCTAGACAAATCTTGGCAACAGAGCTAAAAGTACCTGCTGGACTATGTGAGAGGCCAGGAATATACCAAGAGTCAAGAATGGTGTCTCAGCAAGGAGCTGGTGGCTCCTTGGAGAGGTTGAGGCTATGGGAACCAGCACTCCAGAAACCCCAGTGGTTCTAGTGGACAGCAGAGAAAAGCTTCAGAGAAGGTGTTAGAGGGTAGCCCAGCTCGCAGGTTGTCCTGAAGTTTTCAGGGCACTGACCCACCAAAGTAGCTTCCAACTCTCTGGGAGCAGAATGCTTAGGAGCAAAAGGCTAAGACCAGATGGAAACAGATGGAGCGGCTGACACCCACGGCCAGTGCTGTGGTAGGTAGGATGGGCCTGGAGCCAGCAGGGAGCATTTCTAGAAGAGAAACTGCACGCCAGGGTAGAGGCACCTGGAAGGCAGAGGAAATCCATGCATGGTGAATGGCATTGAGCTAAATAGCACGCAGCTGCCCAGGCGCTCAGAGCACAACCCGCCACCCCCCACCTAGTGCCTCTGTCCCCTCCACTTTGCTGTGCAGAGTCAGGAGTGAGGGCCATCCTCCCCCCACAGTCCCCATCTTCAATTGCAGTTCTGTGACAGGGGTGGTCTGATGGTTCTCTGCAGAGGAGTGTGACCGGGAGGGAGATGGCTGTCTCCTGCTGCTTTGGGTGATTTTTGCTGGCTGTCTGGCAGAGGTTTCGCATGGAGGAGCCGGTGGGGGAGGGGGAGTTGTCTGTACAGCTGGTGGATTCTAGAGTCGCACAGACCCAGGCCCAAGCCAGGCTTCCTTTCTTAAAAACCTCTTTGTCTACCTTCCCTTAACCTGTCTGCGCCYGGTTTTCTCATCTATAAAATGGATAAGATAATCGGGATAGCACTTCATGCATTTGCCATGGCACTGAAATGAGATAAATGTTTTTAAAAATTGCTAATGAGATATCTTATATCCCATTTTGTTTTCATGCTAAATCTTCAAAAGTTGGCATGTGGGTTTTTTGTTGTTGTTGTTGTTTTGTTTTGTTTTTGTTTTTGTTTTTTTTTTACCAGTTGCTTCAATGCATAGATTGTGGCTACTATATTAGGGCAAATTTGGGTCATTCCATCATTGAAGAAAATTCTGGAGAGTGCTGAGAGATCCTTGAGAACATGGACTCTTCTATCTTATTCACTTTGGCTTCACAGCACCTTACACAGTGCCTGGCCCAGAACAGGGGCTTAGTAAATGCCGAGGTGTTGATCTTTGAACAGTATACTTTCATGAGCCCACAAGGAGGACAGCATTCAATGTAGAAAGATCCACATGTGCAAAGATCATGGGGTATAAAACGTGTTTGTGGAAGAGCCGAATAATTGATATGACTGGGAGAAGAGAGTAGAGGCTCAGGAGGAATGCCTGAGCCAGGTCATAATGGCAGTATTAACAACAGTGACAAAATGGAATATTTTTGCCAAAACCAATAAAGACCTATCAAAGCAAGCACGAAAGTAATTTGATCAAAATTAGATTTTAGAGAAGTTATTTGGGTAGAAGGCAGAAAGATGCAGGTTGAATTCTGACTGGAAAAATAAAGAGACAAAGATATGCATTAAGAAGACATGGTAATCTCAGCAACTTGAGAGGTTGAGGCAGAAAGATCATAAGTTCAAGGTCAGCCTCAGCAACTTTGCGAGACCATCTCAAAATTTTAAAGAGGGGGACAGGGGGCACTGGGGTTGTAGCTCAGCAGTAGAGCACTTGCCTGGCACGTGCCAGGCCCTGGGTTTGATCCTCAGCACCACATAAAAATAAATAAATAAAATAAAGGTATTGTGTCCAACTTCAACTAAAAAATAAATATTTAAGATAATGAATGAAATAAAAAGGACCGGGGATGTAGTTCAGTGGTACATCACCTCTAGGGCAGATGCCTGTAATCCCAGTGACTTGAGAGGCTGAGGCAAGAGGATCACAAGTTGAAAGCCAGTCTCAGCAACTTAGGGAGGCACTTAACAACTCAGTGAGACCCTGTCTCTAAATAAAATGTTTTAAAAGGGCTGGGGATGTGGCTCCGTGGTCAAGCACCCCTGGGCTCAATCCCCAGTACCAAAAATAATTAAYTACATAAATCATCTCAGGGTTTAATTCTCAGTACCAAGAAGAAGAGGAGCAGTGGGAGGAGAGAAGGAGGGAAGGAGAAGAAGATACTGCACTGTTGAATTCTGGCTCATATTCTTCATTGGGAGAGAAGGCTGTCCTGTGCATTATGGGATTTAACAGCATCCCTGTCCTTAGCTACTAGAATTCAGTACCACCAGCCCAGTTGTGATAGCCAAAAATGTCTCCAGACCTTGTTAAATATCCTTTGTGGTGGAATTGCCCAGGAGACCTCTCGGGCAATGTGCAAGGCCGTGTGTGCTCTCATACCCACATGGATAGTGGAGATGATTCAGGTTTAGATGCTCAGAGGAAGGTGGGACGATTGAGACAGATCTTATGGGGATGGCAGAAGTGGAACAATTGAGTGTGGAAGTTCAAGCAGGATTTGGTTTTGTGCGGACAGGAAGAAGAGGGCTTTAGACTGTGGGTGCAGAATGAGCAAAACTCTGAAGTCACTAAGGGCATGGAACTTCTAGACAGGAAGAAGTGTCAGGCTTGGGGAAAGGGGATGTCAGTTAATGAGGTCAAATAGGGATGCTGGTTCCTAGCAAGTTGGTTCTTGAAGATAAAGAGTCAAAGTTAATGCTCTCACCAGCTTGTGATATCAGCAATTCGGGAGGCTGAGGCAGGAGGATCACAAGTTCAAAGCCAGCCTCAGCAAAAGTGAGGCACTAAGCAAGTCAGWGAGGCCCTGTCTCTAAATAAAATACAAAATAGGGCTAGGGATGTGGCTCAGTGGTTGAGTGCCCCCGAGTTCAATCCCCAGTATCCCACCCCTCAAAAAAAAATTTTTTTAAAGTTTATGCTCTCGGGTATTCTTTCATTCATTCATTGAGTACATACTTAATGCTGGCTCTCTATGGTAGTCAGCTTCTATTTTAGTGAGCTTTTTCGCTGCTGTGACTAAAGACCTGACAAGGACAGTTTTAAAGGAGGAAARGGTTATTCAGGTTTCAGAGGTCTCTGTCCATAGACAGCCAACTCCGTTCTTCAGGACTCAAGGAGAGGCAGAACATTATGGCAGAAGAACTTGGCAGAAGAAAGCACCTCACATGGTGATCAGAGAGGTGAGAGAGAGAGACTTCACCAGCCAGATCAAAATACATACCCCAAAGTCACACCCCCAACGTCCCACCTCCTCCAGCCACACCCTRTCTACCTTCAGTYACCACTCAGTTAATACCATCAGGGGATTAATTCACTGATTGGGGTGAGGTTCTCATAATCCAACCATTTCATCTCTGAATCTTCTTGCATTATCTCATACATGAGATTCTGGGGGACACCTCACATCTAAACCATAACACCCTCCTTCTTAAACTTTTCCTCCAAGTACAGCTAGTTCCCCTAGGTCCAGGCCATAAGCCCTGCTATGGAAAAAGGGCTACTGTGTCCATCACCCAGTTTCCCACCTCCGTGGTTGCTGTGTGGACCTGACATCTCATCCAAGGCCAACATCAAATGCCTGACAAAGACCAGTGATCCAGAGGAGGTGCTCCCCACACAGATTTTCTTTTAAGTCTTATTTTTGTACCTGAACTTTCATGTGAGGTGTGAATATTGCCCCCATCAAAATCTGCTTTCAAACTGGGCACAGTGGCATACTCCTGTAATCGCAGCAGCTCAGAGGCTGAGGCAGAARGATCACAAGTTCAAAGCCAGCCTTGGCAAAAGCAAGGGCACTAAGCAACTCAGTGAGACCCTGTCTCTAAATAAAATACAAAACAGAGCTGGGAGATGCAGCTCAGTGGCTGGGTGCCCCTGAGTTCATTCCCTGGTATCTACCCCCCCCCAAAAAAAAAACTATTTTCAATTTAATAATCCACCTACCTTTAAATTTCAAGCAAAATTGGTGTCTGAAAAATGCAGCATTTATCCTGTGGCTTCCTGTACTCTGGGTGCATCCCCCACGCCCTACTGCTTCTTTGACCCCAAGGATTCAGACATGCGTGCCGGTGTGAGCACAGATCCYGGTATGTGGGGAGTGATTTGAGATCATTTAGCCGAAAGCAGAGTTCATTGAAATCATGTTTTATGGAAAAATACATATTCACAGTATTGGGAAGAAAAAGCCCGAGAGTTGGTAGGGTTTGCTTTAGTTT